TCTAATTTTCTAGAATTCTTTGGTCAGTTTTCTATTCCTGTTGCTATTTTGTATATAGTGATGATATAGCCTCTTGTATCATTTAGCTCTGGTATGTTTGGCCTTGTAACTTGTTCTTCAACTCCAGAAGACATTTAGTTGCATTTGATTGTATCTTTTCCAACTTGATGTGCTGCTTAAGGGGCCATGAGATACAAATACTGTGTGCCAAAAATGAAACCTGGTTCGATTTCAATCAAACTTTTTTGATGACTTGTATATGAAAAGGGTTTCATCTGGTCCAAGTCTCGGCATTGTAGCATAAATAGGGAGAAAAAAATATTGAAGTAGGTGTCAATTTTTCCAAAATGGCCAAAAACAATTATCTAACACAAGTGTCAACTGAAATCATGTCTATGACTCGGCTATTACAATAGCATATAATAAAAAAATATAATTAGTTTTATTTAAAAAATTAAATTAAAATGTATTTTTTTTTTTTTTTTTTTTTTTTTTTTTTTTTTGTCGAACGATTTGCACGAAACTTATACACCTGACTGCATGTAAGCCTGTCTGTAAGGGTGCCAATTTTGGAGAAAATTGGTTGATGTCAACCTCGGCCACAGATGGCAGCACCTTAGACTTTATATTTTAATGATTTATTTTTCAAGTAACATAAATGATTTCAAACTTTTATTTTTATTCAATTTACATGAAACATACACCTTATATGTACAGTTTCTCTAAAATGTCAGGTTGTGTTGTTTCCCTAAGTTCATTTATTGATTTTATAATAGCAATAAACATGACATATTTACATAATTTTTTGGGGGAACTTTGACTTTGTATTAAGAAGACTAAAGATGTTTTGGAAACTCCCAAACCACAGATCCTTTATTAGATGCTAATGTGTCAGAAAAGTGTCATAGAATGATTATACCTGAAAAGGTGAAAGGTTTGAACTCGCTTGAAAATGTGTAATATTCATTGAAAAAAAATATATATCTCCCTTTCTATTTAAGCTATAGTACTGAAACTTGGAACAATTGCAGCCCTTTTCATATACAACTATTCAAAAAATATTGGTTGACATTGAACAACTTTTCCAAAACTAATCGAACGGTCCCTTAAAAATGGGGGCACCATACAATATCTGCATATTCCAGTTTTGGCATCACAAAGATTGTAAATAGGTTCTTAATATTTTACATAAAAGCGATCCTGGAGTTAGAAAGTGTAGCATATATGCCTTGCACAATGTTATTTTTTTCCTTGATTGTGTCACACCTGCAGAGGTTGTGGAGGTAACAGTATCATGAGGTCTCGTGATGGTGGTTCTGCCACTTTTTCTCTTCGTTGTTTGTTTTTTGTTTCTGTACAGGTTGTTCTAGCCTTCCCTTTATAGTTAATTTTTGGATTGGCATCTCTTGCAAAGTACTGTAGCCTCATATTGTGCAGTGCTGATGGACCCGCTGCAGCTTGCTTTCAGGGTCGACACTTCCTCGGCCACGTTTCACAACTTGGCTTTGTTTCACCTCTGGCCAACTCGTGCACCAGCAGAGCTAGTGTAGTCTATGGACAAGATGCTCCACACACTTCTGAGTGTGGAGCATCTCTTCACATTCCACTCTCTTCACACTCAAGATGCTTCCACACATTTCAACAAGTTTGCATTTCTTCCCATAGACTACACCACTTCTAAATTGTTAAGGAAGGGACATTCTGTACTGCCTTCTTCTCCCGTGAAGAAATTTCCTCGGCTTTCTCTTGTTGCTGCTCCTAGTGAAGGGCTAAGAGTTCTTTGGTGGTCAGTTCTTGGCTGTGTTCCTCCACCAACTCAAAACACTGAATGCCACTTTTTCTAAATTTCTCAAACTATCCCCTGCTCGCCTTTAACTCTTTCGTATCTGCATCACTTGTTCCAGGGGTTTTCTTTTAAAGGTTTTCATGCAATAGTCTTGCTCTTTCACAAATGATGGCCTCTGAAACTCTATCACCTGCTAGCTACTTGTTGTGTATCCAAATTAATAACAACCCTTTCAACATAGTGTTTGTGTTCTTTGTTTCGTGATTGTTGCTACGCCTTTTGCCACTTGAGCATTCATAATGTCCTTTCTCTTAGCAATTACAGTGCATAACGTTGATACGTTGTACTGCCTAGCTAGTTCAACAACCTGTGTACCTTATTCATGTTTATGAATGAGCTCTTTGTTTTTGCTCTATGGTCATCCTCACATGTATTTTCTTAGATTGAACCTTACCAATGACTTTCTTGGAACCCGTGGCATGATGTATAATAATTACTTTTATATTTAAAATCCAAACGGCTGAAAAGTAATAAAATTCTGTACAAAGAATTCATGCGTGATTCACTAAGCGGGAAGCACTAGTAAACTGAAGCACGGGTGATGGTACTACCAGGAACCATGCGCTAGGTTGCCTATATGCATATCAACAAACTACATTACTCGAGGCAATGCTAGTAAGCCGATTCACATTTACGAAGAAATTGGGCTCGTAATCCAAAAAGTTCATAAATTAGGGCATTCGTTAGCCGAGGTCACCATATAGGTGGTGATAGCTGGCACTGTAAGGCAGTGTGAAACAGAGGCAGTGGTAATTCAGATTTGGGCGAGTTCAGCCACATCCCCCGACGCCACAAACATCTGTTCACTCGCTGCTTTCATAATATTTACCTGGCTAGCACTCTGTCATGTAGCATGTAACACTTTCCCTCTTCTATTTAGCTTTCTTAGACAGGAAAGGCATCGGGAATACAAACTATGAAACGGCTAAGAAACTGCAGGATACGCCACTATGAAATAGTACTCCGCACCTCCATCCTCTATGAAAGACGCATGGGCACTGAGCGCTCTACTTCACCAATACCACACAGGCGATGTACAGTTGCCAATGGGAAAAAGTACCCACCACCTTGTCCTGTCATGTATGTCCTGTGGTGTCCACCACAGGACATACATGCCCAAGAGTTGGCAGATTTCTTTAAAACAGATTAAAATGTAGCTAAGAATCTAGGTTTTTACTATAAGGTACAAAGAAAAAATGAGAATTGGCCTCAAGAGTTTATTGTGCACATTTGTTTATGGTAAAGGCTCTTTGAATTGGCATAAAAATGTTGCTGAATAAGAGTTCATAGAGCTCTAATTAGTTGACTTGCAGTCTTCTTTCCTGTTTGATTTTGAAGTTTGTAATTTCTTTTGTGCATATACTGCTTATGCCACATTGAATTTTCCGAAGCTACTCTTATATCAGCTTGGGTACATGGTGAACTTGGAGCTGTCCATTGTCAGTTGCCTGGATTTCTTAAACAGCTTGTGGGAATGATGTTCCTAATGCGAGTCATTACAAAAAATATACTATAGAATCACTGTGGTCTTGTGTAACCAAAGTGCATTAGTTGTGTGCTGAATTACCTGTTTAAAATTCTTGAGAGTTCTACAGCTTGGCTAATGTCAAACGTGTAAATTGTAGTAGACATCCTCTTGCTGTCCATTAAGTTCCCCCACCTGGGGGAGCCGATCGGCCGAGCGGACAGCACGCTGGACTTGTGATCCTGTGGTCCTGGGTTCGATCCCAGGCGCCGGCAAGAAACAATGGGCAGTTTCTTTCACCCTATGCCCCTGTTACCTAGCAGTAAAATAGGTACCTGGGTGTTAGTCAGCTGTCACGGGCTGCTTCCTGGGGGTGGAGGCCTGGTCGAGGACCGGGCCGCGGGGACACTAAAAAAAAAGCCCCGAAATCATCTCAAGATAACCACTCAAGATAAGTTGGCAAGGAGGAAAACCTGAAACATTGGCATTGTACCCAACAGTAACACTGTTAAAATCTGTGTTGACTACTGAAATGACGGCTTGTCAAGATAGGTTGAATGTTGTGATGTTGCCCTGCTCTGCTTTAATCTAGTCTAGAAAACTAGAATATGAAGAGTGGCATATATTCAAGGAATGAGTGACCTGCTTCATTTATTATTAGGCAGTCACTGCTGTAAAGCAGTGTTTTCATTTTGTTGATTGAACAGTTCATTACAGTTGGCCATTGAAAATTTGGAATTCACTTCCATGATGCCCATTTTTCTCTTTGTCCTCTCCCTCCCTCTTCCTCTCCCCTTTGTTTTTCTTCCTCTCTTCCCTTACTTCCTTTTTGCCTTCTTTTATCCTTCCCCCTTTCCTTTTCTTTCCTTCCCCCCCCCCCCACCCCATCCTTCTCTCTCCTCCCTCCCTTCCTATTCTTTCCTTCATCCCCCCCACCCCTTCCTTTTCTTTCCCTCTCCCCCTTCCCTGTCTTTTTCTGTTTTTCTTAAATGTTTTGTTTAGGTACTGTAGTTAAGAACTAAAGTATTTTTGTGGGATGTCATGAACATTCTTAAATGCATGTAACACTCCTTCCTAATATTTTTCAATCTTTCTCATGAATTCATGATCTTCATGCAACTCGAAGGTGCTCCATTCCTTGTCAGCATCTAATTGCTGCCACCTGTCTTTCCCCCTTCTGTTTGTTATATCCCTCCTATGTGCACAATTGTTTGGTCAGTGACAAGTGACTTACCATTAGGCAGTATAGATCTTAGTTTCTTTATGCTTTCCCCTCATTCTGTTAAATGAGGGGAATATTCACTTTATAAACATTTTTATTTAGGGTAGATAGCTTAGTCTTTCCACTTGTATTTCTTTCAGATTTCCTATCCAAAAATTATTTTTAAATATTTATTCATATTGACTAAATATGCACAGTAATTATGCATGTACAGTAATCAATTGCACAAGACATCTACAAATAGCTAACCAAGTGTCACCCCAAATTAAATTTTTAATTTTTTTTTCTAAAAATTGAATTTTGATGAAATATCAGTTATTGTCTGGCTTCGTTGCCGATTTTTTCTCATCGAATTCTAATAGTCACTTGAGTTTAATTTTTTATAGCAGCTTGTCATTCTGCTGTGGTTATTTAATCCTTGGTGTTTGACACATAATAAAAATAACTGGAGTCTTTTGTATTATCAGAATGGGATACGTCAAATCCTGAATGGCGTGCCGGCTGGTAGAGGACGATGGATGTCTAACCGGACATCTCACCCATCTGATATAGAGGTTCGACATGCACTCTCACCACACACATTTCTCTTCAGTCTTCCTGTTCTGAGAATCCTTGGCTTTTTATAATATTTTTATTTGCTCTACATTTATAGATAGGAAAGCTATATTTCCAAAGCATAAGGAATTTGTGGTGTCATAGTTTATAAAGAGGGAATTTTAATTTCTTGGTTTTTCAAGCACTTCATTTTGATTTTGAATTACCAGACAGTAATTCTGACAGTAATTCATTCAACAGTGAACAACCTATTCATTAGCCTTCTTGGGCACTATATTTTCAAATATTAACAGTTGTTAGGTGTCTGTAATTCCTGAAACCTGGCAAATCTGGTTTTATAAAGTGGTCTGAAAAATGTGAATCGATTCTATTTTGTGTATTTTTGGTTAAAATATTTTAAATGTTAGAGAACATAAACTGTGCAAACTAAGTACACGGTATGTCAATGCATATTATGTATGTATCTAGGGTAGATTCTTCTAGATACTTTTTTCTATCAGCCACTGAAAATTACATTAGGCAGAACAATAACAAATTTTATGATATTTAACATAAGTAATGAACTTACGGACTATTCATGCCCGTGCCACCTCTTGGGTGGCTTAATCTTTATCATCTTAAATAATGAATGATTCAAAATAAGTATCCTTTTTTTGTTTAAATTATGATTTGTCTTGACATTTCCAAGTTAGATACTGTTTACTGTGCAAAATTAACATCCTCAGAAAGTTAGGCCCTAGTTCAAAGGGGGAAAAAGTATTATTGCATTAATTTTTGTATAATGAGTGCTATTAACACAACCAACTGTAGAAATGTTCCTGTATTAGTCCCTTTAGCTTGTGGCAACTTTACAGTTCTGAATATCAGATTTAAGTATATTATGTACTGTATATAGCTAGGTCTAGTGATGTTAGGATACCCATGCCAAATTTGTAGTCCTATATTTTTTTTTACTTGGTGGGTTGAATGGTTTTAGTACCCGATGATTTTTAAGTTGGTATATTTTTCATATGGACTAACACAGGTTTGCAAGTAAACCAACTAGTTATTGTACATAGCCTAGCATTGGCAATGTTTATGCCATTGAGCATTCTTTGCTCCCACACTTTTTCAAGTAAATACAGTGTTTTCATACACTGTACTCTATAAAACGTGAATTATATGCAGTATTAGTCCTCAACACTGAAAACTGACAAGTAAAATTGGCATATGCCACAAAACAATACAGTGCATTGTATTTTCTACATGCCCAGTGCTGAATGTTTTTGTGCTATTAATAATTTGTACAGTAATTTCCTAGTTAGCCAGTCCATTTGATCCTTTGCCACATTTCTTAACTGGACAGTATCTGCTGCGAGAAATGATAAAACATTCACAAATTTTGCATCCATTTGATTGATTTGACAGTGATGTATTTGAGAAGATCCATAGCTGCTGTAATTGTAAAAGTGTTATACTACTCAGAACCAACATGTTGTGCCTCCTATCAAAGCATATCTAAAATGATCCAGTTTAATTGATCTATGACACCTCATGATCACCTTGTCTCGTTTAAAAAGCCTGTCTTTCTTTTATCATTTCCATGGTCATCTTATTAATGTATTAATTACTGAATGAATGAGCCGCTTATTGTTTCTTAAATATACACTGATGGATATTTTAACTAGCTTTCTATATCATTTTACTTATGTATGTTGATACCTAATATTTCTTAACTATTGACAAACTTTACTACTTGTACCAGTTGTGCCTTGCTTTAAAATGTAATTTTCTATGCAGCCAATATAACACTTATTTTTTTTAAACTTATTGCAGTGTGTGTGTGTGTGTGTGTGTGTGTGTGTGTGTGTGTGTGTGTGTGTGTGTGTGTGTGTGTGTGTGTGTGTGTGTGTGTGTGTGTGTGTGAACAAAAATTGTCAACCATACTATCATGGAAATAAACAATTCAGTCTCTTGGGCACTAGGAGACTCGAACTGCTGATCCCACAGGTGTGAGGCAGAAGCTCTTCTACTGTTCTATGAGAGTAGTCATAATAGGATAGATTTCAGAGGCAACCAACTGCTACCCAACTGAAATTTTATACTTTCCTCGGCTTGTTACCGAGTGCATTGGCATTAGTGATAAAACACCCATGACATGTAAATTGTCAACCACAATTCTTATTTGAGTCTCCTAGTGCCCAAGTGAATGAAATGTTTATTTCCACAATAGTGTGGTTGACTATTTATTTAAAATGGCGTGGGCATGGGTCACTAATTCCTATGTATTCTGTAATAAGCCAGTAAAGTATAAATTTTCAGTTGGGCAACGGTTGGTTGCCTCTGAAATCTTAACTATTTTGGCTAGTCATAATATTGTACGGTGGTAAAGCATCTGCCTCTCGCTTGTGGGGTCAGCGGTTCGAGTCTCCT